CYGTTGCAAGTGCATATACTTAACATGTACTTCGGTTAAGAGCATACTTCTACTTCTGTTAAATTCTGTGTAGAACAGATCAGATGCAAGATACTTATATTTGTATGCTTCTTATTTTCCAATTTTCTTCTCTTAGTCTTTTTCCTCTCTCTTTTTTAACTATATATGCTCTGGATGTTTCCCCTAACATTTCTTCACAATTACTTTCTTAGTGATAGATGGGGCCTTCATCTACAACTACGTGGAGCAACAGTGCCAGAGAGTGGCTGTCTGGGATAAATGCAGCTGGATTCGCCTTGTGGTTAAACCTTTGGGACTGAAATGAGCATACACAGGATCACAGAATATCSTGACCTGGAAGGGAACCACAAAGATCATYGAAGTCCAGCTCCTGATCTGGTGGTTGATCTGAGCAGTACAGAAAGAAGAGAAAGGTATGTAAATTGGCCTGTCACAGCATAATTATCTCTGTTGTCTGCATTCCCTGGAAATTTCATGGGATTTACTGTGATGATGAACACTATTCTTGGAAAGATGCTAGAGAAGGTGATGTGAGCTGTGAGCATCASTTCCTTTCTCTTTTGGCCCTGCTTGCTCATACTTATGCTCACAGAGCTGTACAGACAAGCTGGTTTCCATACTGTGGGATTGCTCCTCCTGCTTGGGCAGAGCTCCCTGTGCATGAAACCCTGCAATCCCTAGGTCAGACAAACAGGACTGTGTCCCTCGTGGCACAGYCTGGAATAAATGGGACCCATGCCTGGGCCAGTGGATGTAATTCCTATAATTTTCATTTTTTAAGAGATGGACACCCAAAAGCTCAATAGGGTTTTGAAATGTTTTACCAGAGGAGCCAATTTATCAAAAGGCTATGGGGATGTGTGTGTGTGTGGTGTGTGGGGACCAGCAGTGCATGGGTGACCTTTCCTTTCCTTTGGCAGGTTTTGGAGGTGTGAATGTTGAGCTTTGACAGCAGAAGGACAGTGGGAAATGAGAAAATGAATTACTGAATTTTCAATTGAATATATCCCCTGCCATGCCAGTTATTTTGGATGAGTAATATATAATTATTGTGCACTAGAAGAGCATTCAGCAAATGGCTTCAACTCACATCTACCAATGCTTTTGTATTTAGGATTACTACCTTCTGTCCAGAAAGTCTTTTAGCATTTCTAACGTGGTATTTGCTTAAAGTAATTCAACGGGCTTCATATATTTTGCACATAAAGTAACTAGGTGAATCTCTGAATACTAATGTGAGAATTAATGATTTTAATATTATATAGGSTTTTTTCCTTGAATCACAGAATTATTAAGCTTCACTAAATCTTCTTATCMCCAGCCTAAGTTTTCAGGAATAGTCAAACTGATATTCAGAGGTAGGAAATCTATCATTTCTCCCCAGTCTAGGATATTCAAATCAATTAGCTGAAAATAACAGTGGAGTAAGGGTCAAAAATACAGAAAATGTTTGCCCTCTAAAGGCTGCTACAATCTGGTCTAGTTTCTGTCGTTGAAACTTCTGGGGTTTGCACTGAGAATACTCACTAGTTGAGTAGAAGTACTTGAGATGTGTTAGCCTGAGAGTGAGCACGCAGTCATTGAGGAGACAGAGGCAGCATGAGTCACATTCCCAGTTCCGTCGGGTTTGTGAGAAAACAGGCGAACGAGTACGAGGGGTCCGYAGGGAAGAGCTGAAGAGCTGTGATAACAGTTGTGATGCTCAGCCCCTCAGTCCTTCTCCTGATCTCTCTGGCCGTGYTCCTGCACACGGCCTCACAGACAGGGAAAGCAGCCTGCGCCTCCACACCGGTTCCGGACCCACGGCCGGGTTTGTGCGTGGGCAAAGGACAGGCAGGCAGCGCAGGGGCAGCTGCCAGCTGCTGCTCTCCTACAGCCAGCGGCCTCGGGGTGGGGCCGCTCTGCACGTCCCGCTCTGCACGTCCCGGCAGCGCCCGGGCTCCTGAGCGCATCCCAGCCCGGATGAACGGGACCCCCGCACCCTCCGCTCCCGAGTCCCGCAGCACCCCCGCCCCGGAGGAACGGGACCCCCGCACCCTCCGCTCCCGAGTCCCGCAGCACCCCCGCCCCGGGCCCGCCGCGCCGCCGCCGGGTGGCGCTGTGACCCCGCGGGACCCGCCGGGACCGCCCGGAGCCGGGGCCGCCCCG